TGTGAAACCCTCCCCCACCCACCCATCCACATATCCACCCATCCACACATTCATCCATCCACATATCCACACATTCATCCATCCACATATCCACACATCCACCCATCCACCCATCCACACATCCACCCATCCACCCACACATCCTCCCATCCACCCACCCAGCTTTTCACTCACCTCCTTAGCCAGCCATCCACATGTTTATCCATCCATCCACCTACCCATCCACTCACTCACTAACCCATGCCTATCTGCATATTCATCCGCCCATCCCTCCACCTACTCACTTGGAAGGCACTTAGAGGGGGCCAGACGTTCCTTAGCTCTGGGAATTCAGTGGTTAACCTGTCTAGAAATGGTCCCTTCTCAATCTGGAGGAGCACTCTAGCAAGGAGGAAGCCCCATGCGGTAGGGTCTTAGGAGAAACAGACGTGGAATGAGAGGATGGGATTTAGGCCCTTCACCAGACCCAGGCTGAGGAGTACCTCCTGGAGTCGTGTCGCAGACTGAAATCAGCAGGCACCCTGGCAACGACAGGGCAGGAAGCGTCTCTGTAGAACCCGGGAGCCAGACAGCAGCTGTGGGCTAGAAAAGCAGAGAGAATTCCAGTGAAGTGTCACCAGCTGGGGCGTGATGTCAGAGGTGCTGAGACAAGCTGAGGGAGGCCTGAGAGGAAAATGAAGGCTAGGTAGGGCCTTTATGTCTCTCATTAAGTAGTTCAGTGGTGCCCTGTGCACAAGAGGGCTGAGCACAGAAGAACATCTTATGTTTTCAGGAAAATCTTAGTTCAGAGAGGACTTAGATTCAAAAAGGGATAAAACTGGAAGCAAAAAAAAAAAAAAAAGTTTTCAAGGTTTATTTGAGAGTAATAAAACTAAATTTGTTTGAAAATGATTTTCACACACTATCTTTGGCTAATTCAGGTTGCACTCCTCAATTGTGCGAATTTACCAGGAGCTGGCACAGAACGCCAGGAGCACTTTCAGTCCACACAGGCAGGGAGTGGTTCGGGGGTGGTCGGGTCCACCCGGGCGTGCAGGTGTGCAGACGGGCCACGCCGCGGCTCGCTGCGTTTAGGTTATGGCCCGGGTCTGAGGAGGCAAATCTTGACTAGGCATGGGATTGACTGTATTTTGGGTATTTATGTGTCCCCCTG